GGTTTAAAAATGGCTAAAACATGTGAATTTTGCAGTTTTTGGTCAAAAACGTACTTGTGCAAACGCATGATCGCAGCCTGTTATACACCACTAGAAAGAGCAGAAAATTTCCGATAAGGTAGATATACTTCTATAGTTTTCCCCCTATCAAATAACAACAAGTTGTTTAGAAGAACAGCGTATTTGTGTGTAGGGATGTATATTAAGGGTGATTTAAGTATGACGCCGATTGATATTGACCGACGAAACCCCGGATTAACATAGTTGAAAGAGCGCTCTTTCTGACTGTGATAACAGTTTTTTAAAATTCGGTTTTATAACAACTGCACAAGGGTTTAAAGTTTGGTAATTTTGAGCTATTTTAAGCACAGAGCGGTGTTCTTCATTTTTTATTGATCTTAATATCTCATCGGCAGACGAAACTAATACCCGGTTTTAGATAGAGAAAAACTCAAGCTTGCAAATGGTGCATTTAGTTTTTCGCTATCTATAATAATAAGGAAGATCAGCTAAGAGAGTAAATAGGAAATTACTGGTAAAAGCTTGTTGCTATTGTCGCACAGGTTTCCGGTGATGCATTTTATTTCGGCATCTATGGGTAATGGGTACACAACTTTGGTATACATAAAATCTTTGGTATACAATTAAAACTCTGTATTTATTTAGCGATAATTGCACTGCTCAAAACAAAAATAACACTTTGGTTAGATTTTTAGTTACTTTTTGTAATATAGTAGATTTGGTATTATAAGCCATCGTTTTCCTGAGCCAGGGCATAGCTTTTTACCTTGCGATGGTTATATAACTTTCATGTCATTTCCGTTAGTCAAAACATGATAAAGAACTACGTTTTACATTTCAAACCCATTTTTATACTGTTAAAAATAATAAATTACCGAATTTAAATCTGATTCCCAATTTGTATGACTGTGAATTACCAATAAAACATTTAAAATATGAAAATGTTATGCTATTAGCTAAGCAATATGTAGGAAAAACTGAAATGTATTTTTATCGTTCGCTGAAAAGTGATAAAAACTCAAATTCCGATTCAGTTACAGACAGTTCTTCTGAGGAAGATTTTTGACATCTATTACGTGTTGTTAAAAATTGTTTTGTTTATTTTGTTTGATAAAAGTGTTTGTTAACCTTCTTTTAAATAATTAAAAGTTTTAAATGTTATTTAATCCTTTCTCCAACCTCTCACTAAAAAAATTAAATATGGATTCACATATCCCCTTCTTGCACCACAATTTGTTTTTTTACTATGATTTCACAATATATGGAAAAACTGACATTTGCTCCGATAAAATTGCCATTCTTATTTATACAAATCAAATAACCACTTTAAGCACAAACATGAAATTAAAAAAGTTTTTTGCCTTTACTGAACAATTTACATATTGTTACTTATCCCATTCTTGCACCAGGCTCTTCAATTACAGTGAAAGCTCTAATAAGCGGACAGTGACGGTTCCGTTACTTTTGTCCGCTTATGAGAAAAGACTACTCAAATTAAAGTACATACACATATATGTATTATTTTGATCAGTTTTCGAAAATTTCGCTTTTATAAAACAAACTTTTTTTTATATTTTAATTTTTTTTAATAAAAACGAACGTTCATACATAAAAAAGGTAATCTTAAAACTAAAACTATTTATTTTTCGTTTGAATAAAATCTAGCATACTGCTTTGCCGCAATGAAGTTTCTCTTTGTAATAAGATAGAACGTTCAATATGTGTTTCTAAATTTTTCACATGTTGAAATGCAGTAAAATCATTTTTCACGAATGATTTTAGTTTGGAAATTACATTCAATGCTTCTTTATAAGATGTGATTGGATTACGTTCCTCGTCCTCCTCCACCTCTACCTCTTCATTCTCTTCCTCTTCTGTCTCATTTTCAACATTTTTTGTGACTACCGAAAATTCCAAGTCATTATCTTCTATATCGACGTTCTGCTGTTTTTACATTATCTATTCCCAGTCTTTTACTACATTTAAACAAATCAGCTAGTCTCGCAAGTGGCAAATTATCTTCAACATCGTAGTTACTGTCAGTTGAACTTCCTTGATCCATCAGAAATCCAGCTTTTTTAAAACAATTTCTAATTGTCTTTGGAGTGACCTTCTGCCACGCAGATTTTATAAAGTACAAGCTCTCTAATATGTCAGTGTATAGATTTTGATA